GGCAAAAAAAAAAAAAAAAAAAAAAAAAAAAAAAAAAAAAAGACGGGACTTCGGCGAAGGAAGGAGCCTGCCCTAAGGGATCCAAGAGGCCTTCCGTGCCAATCACTCCTGCCCCTGAGCCCCGTTGCAAATGGCCCTGGGGGTGGCGGCCAAGTGAGGGCAGCCCCTCCCCCTTCCCCACCAGGGCTCTACCCCTCAGAAACGACGCCGGCCAGAGCGTCCCGGCTCCCTGGCCAGGCCTTACCTCGATGTTGCCCACGGTGCGGGCACAACCCACCACCTTCAGTCCTTGCTGGACAAGGGCCCGGGCCACGGCTGCGCCGATGCCCCCCGAGGCTCCCGTCACCAGTGCCAGGCGGTGACGCCACCGCTCCATGCCGGCCCTGGCCATGGTCCCGAGCCGCCCGCCCACCTCGCTTGGCGAGCAGGGCACTTGGATCGCAGAGCTCCGCCCCGGGTCGCAGAAGCTCGACCGTTCTCTAGCCACCTTCGCGGTAGCAGCCGCCGACCTGATCTTGTCGGAGCCGCGCCTCGACCCACCCCCATCCTGGCCGACCTCCGGCCGGGGCTCCACCCTCCGGTCCTCGACGCTCGGCCTCATCCCGCCCGAAGACGGCCGCGCCCGCGGCCCCGCCCCTTCCGGCCCCTCCCCCGGCTGGGGAAACCGCTGGGGTGCCTGCAGGCGCGGAGGTTCTGGCCGCTTGTGGTCCTGCTTCCCCTGTGAGCTCTTCCCTTTGGGGCAGGTAAGACGAGGGTTAAGGGACACCTGCTCCAGTTCCAAGGATGCACATACTCAGGCCTCCTGCTTAGTTTCCTTACCCTGTTCCTGACGCCTAAAACCAGGATGAGGAATTAAGGGCACTTAAGGTGACTCCAACGCCCTCCCAAACCAGCCAGGAGCTGATTCTGGAAAGGATTCAGCCCAGAAAAGGCCTAGTGTTTCCGCCGTCAATGCTGGGTGACCTTGGGAAGGACTCTTATTACCCCTACCTGATCCCTTCGCCTTCTTAGCCAAGGAGAACTGAATAGTTAAGAATGGAAACACTCCCAAGCACAAGTATATTATATTTGGGGATTCTGTCCCTAATGATCCTCCTGTCTCCACCTGTCCTAGACCCCACTCCACCCCCATTGTAGCAAATGTATCAGTGTTTACCAAAGATTAAAGCAATAGCTAACACTTATTGACAGCTGTGTGGCAGGCACTTTTAAGCACTTTAAAAATACCAAGTAATCTGCGCAAACACACTCTGAGATAGTACCTATTAATATCTTCACTTTTAAAATGAGTATAGTGATAAAGAGATGAAGCATGGTTTGGACTGCACGCAGTGCAGTCTTAGGCCAGGGATGTGTTCCTAAACAGTCTTCATTCCATTCTTCCTTCCTGGGTTGTTGGTTTTGTTCGGAGTGGAGCTAGCTTTGCTCTTTGACCTCTCAGGGAGTTCCAACAAAGTGCTGAAACTCTGCATTCTCAATATAGCCATCCTTCCAAAGAAAAAGCATCTCTGAATAACTGGATTCCCTCTCCAGCAAGCAATGGAGTAAGTAATGAATGTGACTGGTTTATTCATTCAACAAATACGCATTTGCCTATCCTTTGGCCCCAAGGGTAAAGACAAAAACAAAACAAAACTAGCCTTGTTTTTAAGGATCTCAAAAGAACACTTGGCTGTAACAGTGGTGGAGAGGGGACTAGCCTCAGAGCCAAGGGCTGTGGTAGGCCCATAGTCATTTTTTACGGATTCAAGGATGAAAGCAAACAAGGGTCAGAAAGGAATCATGACTCATTTGACCTTTGCCCCAATTCCTATACAACACTTATTTAAGAGACAACTCAGGAGAGATCAAAGAAATGCCACCAATTATGAACAATCTGAGCTTCTACTGTTGTCCACTTGACATCTGATTAAAAATCTAAGTGGTAGAAAGCCCATAAAATTCACTCCATTCCCACTGCACAGAGGTATTGACTATTCCACCCCTTGTCTGCTGCCCACCAAGTACTATCAACATGTAGATACAAAGCTCTAAGCATGTGTGCTTATTAAGTTGGATGCCTCAACCTTTTAAATGGCAGCAAAATGCTACTCCTGAGGAAAATCTCCTTTAGTACTCACAGGCAGCTTGTGACAGCAGTTAACTGTAAGGCTATAGTGACTATTGTTGGAAACCAGATAAGGCTGAACATGCACTTACACAGACCACAATGTGGTTAGCTCTCAGTGCAGCCTTCTGATCCCAGTCTTACAAACTGAGTTAATTACTTATCATGCAACCCTTGGTTGAAATGCTGCCAAGTTTTGTTTTCATTCTTCTAGGTCAATAAGAACTTCTGAATTTAAGAGGTGGTTCAAGGGCCGGCCCGGTGGCGCACTGGATAGTGCACCGCTTGGGAGGTGTGGCGGCGCTCCCACCCGAGGGTTCGGATCCCACATACAGACCGGTTCCCGCTCACTGGCTGAGCGAGGCGCGGGAGCGACACCGAGGGTTGCGATCCCGTTGCCGGTCCCGGTCCGGTACGGGGGCGACACTGAGGGTTGCGATCCGTTGCCGGACATGGAAAAAGACAAAAAAAAAAAAAAAAAAAAAAAAAGGGGGG